CTCGGCTGGTAGTCCTTCAGGCTCTGACTCGGCGGGCGAAGATGCTCGTCGTTCTGCCAACGCGAGAAGCCTTCATGAGGCAATCTTCGGTTCTGACGATGAGATGAGTGGTGAATCTTTGTCGCCGAGTGATCGCCACTCCTCGCGCCATTCATCGATGGATTCTGGTGACGGGGCGACGCCTTCCACCTCCGCGTCGGCTTCAGGGAAACAGCAACACCGCAAGCGTCGTGCCTCGTCGATTCCTACTGGTCACCGGTCGAAGAAATTCAAGAAGCACCATAAGAAGCACCGAGACCACAAGCATCGGCAGCCTGCGTCAACCCCTGACATGGCTCCTGCCCAATCTCTGTCGGCTGCTCATTCGCCGAGTGTGTGTGTAGCGTCTGTTCCGTCCCGGCCGAGCTCGACTGCGTCACGACCAGCTCCGGTCACTCTGCCACGCACCCTTACACTCCCGTTGGTGACGTTACGGATCCGGGCCTCGCAAGCAGTTTTCAATGATTGGCGTTTGACCCTTCACATGGCTCAACTCCGCGAGGTGCCGTTTATGCATTTCGTCTCAGCCGTTGATGGAATGCATTACTGGACACACTGACCGGTGGAGTGCAGCTGGAGCTCGTAAGTGGCAAGAGTCGTGTGCCGCCCACGCCGTGTTCTCTTGACGGTATACGAGCTTTCATGGCTGTCTTCGATCCGAGTAATCCTTGTCAGCGTCTCCGGCGGATGCTTCCCTTCTTCTTTTCTCCGTCAGTTCTGGAGGTGGCTCGGCGGTGCTTGGCTTTGCAGACTCGACCTCGTACCTTGAGGCAGGTTCTTGGAGATATTTGGGGTGAAGCTTTGTGACGACAGTCCTTTGGACTAGGCGGGGCGGTCTATCACGACCGGTGAGCAAGTGACTCGTTTCTTCGTTGCTCTCTACGAGCGTCGCCACTGGATCGTCGAGTCAAGTGTGTTGATGGGCCTCCATCCCGACTTGGACCCGACAGCCACGCCTGCTCAGCTTGATGAAGTATATGAGCTGTGGCTGGTGTACAAGCTCGAGGGCCTCTGCGCTCGGTGGACTGGAAAAGCGCTCGCGCGCCGTCGTCCATCCTTTGGTGGAGGGAACAGGGTTTGTGAACGAGCTCCGCCGAGCCAAACTCGGCAGAGCCTCGGAAGTGCTCTGATTTGGTTAGTCGGAACTAAGTGGAAGCGAGCCACTCGTCTGTCCCGGCTGGACCGAACCGCGAGGGGACCACCCTGTGCGCAGGCCATACAAGCGCCGACCTAACTCGACAATTTGTTGTGATTTGTGCAAGGAGTACACATCTGACGGTATTTGTGTGTTCTCTACACCACACTACGAAAGAGCACGCACGTTCGAGGCCACGGTAGAGCACGTAACGGTAAAAATGCACGGGAATTCTCCCATAACACCACGGTAGAACACGGAGCACAGTCGACCGATTAAACATGAAGCCGCGGTAGACCATAAACATGAGATTGTCGAGCATTGGAACACGATACCAGGGTAAAACCGGAGTTCATTGGGGAGCGCGATACTACCATAGCTAACAAAAGCACGGACGACAAACCAACCTCGACACCACGAGATAGCATGATAGCATGTACGATGGGCCAACCACTAAACCATGAGAGAACAAGCAGCCACGAGAGCTATATACGGAGAATCAATGGGCCACGAAGCATGATACCAGCGAGGCCTGAGATCACCGAGCCACGAAGGACGATACTACATTAGAACACGATTGTACGGACGGCGGATTAGCCACGAAATATACGGGGGGAAGGGTTGGAGTGACCACGATTGCACACTGTGAAGCACGATGCTATTGTAAAACACGATAACACGGGCAACGCAGATGCACTGCGCGAGCACCGTAGACAGCAAAACCACACCGCAATTACGCGATAGCGTGATAACGCGGTCGATGGAGCCTCACATGGCGAGCAGGATACACGGGCGATGGAACAATACGACTGCGTGGGGACATCGAACCACGGAATAGCACCCTTCGGCTAAAGTACTGGCGATTGGGAGGCCAGCGGCAGCGAAAGACAAGCTACCACGAAATTACGTAAGCGTTTAAGAACCGGAAATAGTTAGTAGCCACGAAACAGGTCATACTAAAGTGCATGAGCTCAAAAGAGGGGGCGCATAACCACTAAGCAGCGCGGGACACGGGTAAGTAGGGAACCACGAAGCCAGGAAGAACACGGAAGAGCACGGGCCATTGAAGAACATGACATCCAACCTGTAGTACGGGGCAACGGAAGCGTACAAAATCACAATATTGTAGAGTGTGAGATTACTGACTAAACTGCCAAATCGTAGTACATTTACAGCAGAAGCTGGCCGTAAGAACTGGCCAAACGAACAGCGCTGTGCTAAAAAATGTTGTCGGCTGAGCCATAACGATAGATAGTTTTAGATCAGTTACTACTGTATGGCCTTTGTTTTCTAAAAGTTGTTTCGACATCAAAACCTGATACTGTTAAATTGGTAGACGTCTCGCCGACAAGCGAAGGATAAAGTTTAAAATGGAGCGAAATTACGTAAATTTTGGTTGGTTAATTAGACCCCATAAAGAAACGTTAAGCTTAGAGTATAATGGGTCGTTAAACTATCCTGGAATCTTAGTTAAACTAACGCTATCAAATAAAAAACACCGCCGCCATCAATAACAGCAAGGCGTCTGGCGACGCATTATCCAAAATTTTAAACATATCATAACTGGCAGATTCGAGTGTCTAATGACTAATTTTGAATCAGCACAAAATTAGCGCACTTCAATGCATTACAAATGTTTCAGTTTGAATATTTTTTATTATAGCTCTCATTGAGTTTGGTACGACAAGTGGTCAATTTACAGTACAAGCTCAAGCAGGCAGTACAAGCGGGTACTTAGTGCAAGCTGGACAGGCCATTACTATCATTTGCATTGATGCGAGCTAAGTTTCATAGCGGCTTAGAAACGGCCCGTGATATCGAGCACGACGCTAAATTAAATATATTGTGTAGCGTTTGTAGACATACTATTTGAAGTGCAGGTGATTCTGACAGTGATAGCCAACACTAATAAAGAGACTGTCTCAAGATCACTGGAGCGAGAGAATTGGGCTGGTAGTGTGCTGCTGAACTTTTACCAAAACTGTCGAGGCCGTTGAGGTGTGTGTCGATCGCACGTAGCGCCGCCAGGCAGCGCGGCATCATCCGTCTACCTCTAGACCTTGCTCGGTAGAAGCTGCAGTGGTTTCAATGCCTTGCTGCTGCCACTTGACGCAGCATCGACAATTTCTCAGCGAGCTCACCAGCTGTGGCGACCACCGCCCGAGGGCACTATACTTCGTCGCCGCGGCGGTGAGTGAGCTGCGGCGATTATCTTTGCTCTATCTACATGATACGTCTACTCTTCTGCTCGTCTACTTATCGTCCACTGATTTACTTATCTCCGCTCTGCTCTGGGAAGTTTTGGGCCAATCGAGACCACCACTAGTGACGCCCGCGGCGACTGACCCGATACGGCTTAACGACACATACGAGCGGACTTATCACTTCACGAAAAATACCGCATGATGATGGAGAGCTCCGAAATCATCATGTCCAGGAGCCTCAGCGTCTCGCTGTGAGCTGTTGAAAGAAACAATCTTTTCGGTGATAGAAAATGAAAACCTCGCTCAAATCGCATTACCTTCTTTAACAATTCTAAAATTCAAGATGTGCTGGAGTTTTTGGTAACGTATTATTTCTGTAAATCGTTAGAACTGATACTGTTTACGGACCTCTTTATAATTATTAAGATCTTCTTGTAAGAGTGATATTCTTTCACAACCCACCTAGCGGTGTAAGAAAATGTAATTTTTAAAGAAAACATCTAGCATTTACGTCGAGGAGCTATATTTTGTATCGTACATCAAGTTTTTATCAGTTTATACCCTTTAATATGGAGTGAAACCACATCAAACCGACCGATTTCTCACCAGTGGTCAGATTCGACGGCTTTGTTTTTGCATGAAGGTAAGCAGCAACCCTGCTCATTTCCGAACTAGGCGAAATGGTAGAGGTGCCAAATTCCGGCGATGTTAAGTACGGTGGTGTTTGTCGTCTACGCGGCAGCGCTCGGCTATTTAATACAGTAGAAGTCGAACACGCTCTAAAATGATTTAGAAAAAGTTCTTGAACCTTTCGTACTACTACAGGGTAGATCCAGTACTTAAAATAAATTAATATTGTTGCTCGCGTACTGCGTGGAGGGGCAGATCCCGTATGTTGACTGACATCCACAAACACCAAAATTCGATCACAATTATCCTAAAGTCGGTGGTGCATCACTAGCCGAGTGCTTGCGATAAATTATACTTGTTCATTCAGCACAATTAGAGAGATATTAAAAAAAAATTGAACCTTTTATCGGACTCGTGCAACGAGTTATTAGGATAGAATGTAGAAAACCTTGTTGACCGTACGCTCCGTCAGCTTGCTGGCGTACCGACTCTTATGGATTGGGATAGTTTGAGGTACGCAATGATACAGTAACAATTGGCTGTCGTTTTTTTGTATTGCCATTCAAGGAGCTGGGTCATGATCCAGCTGCACATTCAGAACGGACCGTAAAACACCAATGCAACACATCTATTCAATTTAAAGTACATGTATTGTAACCAGCCTGGAAGGTTTGCCTTGATTTGAATTTGGGACAAATTGTTCATTAACGTTACATGATCGCGTACATTGTACATGTACCGGTACGCGATCGCAGATGTGATGTAGAATACGTGGTTGTTAGGTACCGTACAGTGTAATAGTTGTCAGGACTTCGCTTCTCAAGATTTGTTTTTCGCCATTACGCACACCAGCGCTGTGACGGGGAGGCCTCCAAGGCATCTCTACCTGAAGTTCTTGCAGAGCTTCAGGTCGTTGTCGTCGAGCCCTCGACCGGTTCCGGCCACTCTCATTTTTGCTTTCAGGTCGGATCAAGTTTGTTGTTTCCACCACCATGCTGACTACTGCTGCTGCTTTCGTGTCGACTGCCGCTCTTCTAGCTGCTTCGATCCCGAATGTCGATGCTCACGGCTACATGCTGATACCAGAATCTCAGTTCAAGGGCTCCGCAAACTCAGCGTGGATCGTTCAGATCGACCCAGTATGGGCCAGTGACAAATGGGATGGCAACAACGCCAAAAGTGTAGACACCTTCAAATCTCTTAAAGCCGCTAACAACTTCAAGGACTTGAGGACTCTCATGGACGACACGTCAGTGTACGGCGCCGACTGTGGTTTCACGAACCCGAACGACACACCGCAGCCTATTCCTTCCGATGGCAAGGCCACCTTCTCTCGTGCTCTTGTGCACCATGGCCCGTGCGGGATCTGGCTCGACGACAAGATGGTACTCTACGAGGACGACTGCTTTGCCAAATACGGTAACGAGAACCAGGAGTCCTGGTTCGGAAAGATCGACTTGATGTCCTGGTCCAGGACATCAAGTCGATCTTTCCGGTGGACTACTCGTCTTGCAGCAACGGTGGATGCAAGCAGATGCGTTTCTACTGGTTGGCTTTCCAGGGTCTTAACAAGAAGACCGTGTGGCAGTCATACAGTAAGTCCCCTGTTGCGGTTTACTAAGGGCTCAAAACTTTATCCATTAACCTGAACTTGTGTGATGTTGCAGAGGACTGCATCCCTCTCAAGGGGTCAGGCGGTGGAGGTGGTGGCTCGCCGGCGGCGCAAGCGGAAAGCTCGCAGAATACCGGTGATGTCTCGCAAACTACGTCCAGTGGTAGCTCACACAGCTCGCCCAGTGACTCTCCTAACCAGGGCTCACAGGCCGAGACCCCGGAGGTCACTCCGGCCCCGTCGTCCAAGTGCAACGGTCGCAAACGCCGCTACTAAGCCCTATCGTGCTTTACCAGTGTTGAGGGAAGATATTGGTAGTGTAGCCTCGTTGGCCAGGTGATCCTGGTTTTTCATGTAGATGACTACGGTGTGTGATACAAATTCAATGGAAGTGTGTATGTGTGCGCCTCTGGTCTGACAAGTTTCCCATTGACATCTCCTCCGCGTGTAAAACGATGGTGATCCAGCTTTCCTCCAACTGGAAGTGTCCAATTTTTCGTTGGTCGCTCCCGCAATCTTTGATTTCAAAATATCGATTTGAATCGGAGCTCATCGTTTGAGCGCTGTTGGGTCCTCGGACACAGCGCTAGTCGCGGTAGCATGACGAGTAAGAGTCACTAAGCCATCTGCAATGGCAATACTATGCCATACAGGTCCCGATGTGCCCTCGTACTCGCTGACAGCATCGAGGCTCTCAGGTAGCCGGCGACTAACTCGCCCACACACTCCATCGAGCCCGTCGGGTACGCATCTACCCCATTGAAAAACCCGTCCGGATGTGCCGACAACTGCAGTCGTCTGTGGACCAGCAGTAATCAAGTAGACTTTTTTATCGATGTCGGGCTCTTGTGGCAGCAACACTGGCAAAGGTTCGTACGCACAACCCGTGGCTACCACATCGGCGATCTTGGCATTTGACTGTTCGTTAAAACCTAACTGACCCTCCCAATTGCACCCGAACGTAAGCACTTGTCCTCCAGCGGTTAATGCAACGGAGTGCATATCGCCACATGCGATGTCTAGCACCGGCATGTCATCGGTTGGAATACGCACTGGTGCGGGTTCTAAGGTGTGAGGGTCTGCAGGAGAACAGTGAGCTCCTAGTCCGAGTTGGCCGTAGACGTTGGAGCCCCAGGCATACACCCCACTACTGGTGAGCACTAGCGTGTGATGGCTACCACATGCTACACGGAATACCTTTTCAGGCGAATGAAACCAGGGCACTCGCTCAGGAATGACGTATCCCCGCCCTATTGGCGGTGCTGTCGAAGAGGAAGACGATTCCCAGCTGTACAGCTCGCCTGAAGACGACGTAGCCATCAAGAAATGCTCACCTGCTGCGATCTGACGCAGATCTCCAACATCAGCGATGGTCTTGGTGCGGGCAAGGAGCGGCTTCCCACCGAGTAAACCAAAGCAATCTCCCGGCGGATCTGTGTCGAGGAGTCGGACACCAGCTGATGTCAGTTGGTTTTCTTCGTCGTCGCCCTCGTTGTTTGTATCCGAGATATTTAGTTGTTGATGCACTAAGGTCTCGGAATCGGCGTCTTCCAGAACTCGATATGGTTCCTGAGCTCTCCACTGATGCAACTTGCGACCCGTACTCGCAGCAAATGACGCTCTACTGGAAGCGGCGGCGACAACATTTCGTAGCCCCACCCTACAGCACAATAAATAAAGCAAACACTCTGTAAATTAAATGATATGGTCGCTTCCATTGACCACGACTCCGCGACGTACTCTTCCATGCGGACCATTAGCAAGCCTTGGTCATCTCTGTCGGACCAGGTAAAAGCACGACCCAGATCGCTCTCCGCTTCTTCAGTGATACCATACTCATCCTTCTCCTTTATGTAGTTGCGCTTTGCGTTTTCTCCAAAATGCGTGCTGGCCAATACAAAGTTTCCCGCCTCTTTAGTGAACAACAGACAGTAGAGTTGCGAGCAGTTGCGCACTTCAGCGCCGCGCGCCCGACTCAACAGCGTACGTGTGCGCATCTGGAGTAGATCCGCATCGTAAACGCACGCAACCACATCGTAGCATGGCGAACATCGTCGACGCAGCGCCATAACTGGTAATAACGAACTGCTGGCGGGCTGAAACCCTGTCAATTGCTCTGTTTGTTGCAGTGATGACGAGTGCTCTTTGTTGCTCCGTAATTGAACTGGCGACCTCTTAGACGACAGGCTAATGCCTTTCACCGATGTGGTTGCCCTCGTCGACGACGTCAGGTGATCAGCTCCGGAGATGCCGCGACTCGAGTAATAGCTGGCAAACTGCCGGAGCTGCTGTCGTCGCTTGACGGACACGATGACGTGAGCAAGCGAGACATTGATATGTCTGTGCTCTCCTGCCGCTCCGCTTTTCGTAGCTTCAATTGCACTGGCAAGGTACATTTTACGCCACATGACGCGTAGGAACTCGTGCTCGTCGAGGCTCTGGCGCTTCCTCTTGAGATCAGACAGAAGCTGCAGCAGGTCGCGCTTGACGTCTCCAGCAGTAAATGGGACCAGCGACTGCTGCAACTCAGCTGCGCTTACTTGGCCATTGCATTCAAGCTCATGGAACAACTCGCGCAACTCGACTTGGGCTTGGGTGTAGCAGTCGACATGGTTCGGGTCCATCTCGTCCACTTCAACTTGCAATGCGTCGTTTCGTCAGCTCAGATCTGATTCCATTGTTTATGTTTTTTTGTATAGCACCGTGATTGGTCTAAATGTATCTGTGAGTCACTGGCTCAGACACTCCACTTAAACTGCGACCATCATGGCTACCGAAGGAGGTGCGTTCTGCGCTGTGTACATACCCGCCACTTGATTCAAACGGGCGACTGTCATTGCATGTATATGGAGGTATTGTGTCCTAAGTGATGTGTCGTATGCATGCGTTCTGGTGGTATAATCAATCAGAAAAGAACCCAATGAACCGGCTGAAGGACGACGTGGCACAAGTGCACGGGAAAGTTGCCGACTTGGACGCTGCAGTCGAGGTGCGCCAGCAACACTCGGATTTATACTGCATTGTGCTAATGCGAAGTGTGTTGCCGATGCCTAATGGTTATTGGTGTCTTTTGCAGACGGACCTGCCGACCGAGTGTGGCATGACGTACTTGCAGGTGAAGAACCACGCGCTGTTGACGTACACAAAGATGGAGCTCTTCTTCGCTCTACTCAAGGTACATAATAACTAGCGTGTTATAATGTTGTAGCCACGCGCCCTCAGATGATAATTGCTGTTGTCTACTGCAGCTGGAGGAACCGGAGAAAGTGAAGAACCACCCTGTGTTCAAGGAGTTGGTGCGTTACCGTACGTTGCTGGAGCGCATTCGTCCGCTGGACCGCAAGATGAAATACCAAGTGGACAAGATGCTCAAGGTGGCGCTGTCCGGTGGCAAGGGACTCGACGAGTCTCTGAGCTACGCGCCCAATCCGGACCAGCTTGCTGCCGAGGAAGGACAGGATGACGACGACGATGGCGAGGCAGGGGGATCCGGTGCCAAGGATGGCATTTACCGTGCGCCGCGCATGGCAGCGGTGCCGTATGAGGAGGAGGAGCGCGCACAGGTGAAGCAGGCGAAGAAGGATGAGCGCAACCGTAAGCGTCTGCAGAAGAGCACAATTCTGGCAGAACTTCGTGAGGAATTCAGCGAGCGTCCCACTGAAATTTTGGCTAGCGGTACAAGCGTTGTGGACAAAGAGATCGCCCGCGAGGAGGCGGAGAAGAAGGACTTTGAGGAGTCGCGCTTTGTGCGTGTGGTTACGTCGCGCAAGGACAAGATCCGTAAGCGCCAGCGCGAGATGGAGGCTAACCGTGCAGATAATGTCGGCTCGATCGATAACTTCGCCGCAGTCCAGGACATTCTGTCATTGGACAAGACCAAGCACCGGATCCCGACACCGCGTGAACCGAAGAAGGTTGGAGGCAAGACGGGTGGTATCTTCGCTCATGTTGATGCGCCGGTAAGTCTGCTTGTTGGAGGTTTTACCGGTTTCTTTACTTTGTAACAAATGATATGCGCAGACCGAGAAGAAGCGCAAGGTGGCACGAAGTGTCGGTGGGGCTAGTGCTTCTCGTGGGATTTCCTCTGCGTCGTCAGACGTCGCATCTGTCTCAGTCTCGAAGCGATCGTCTGGCAAAAAGAAGAAAGTGGTGTTTTCTAACCTGTTCTCGTGATCTCAAGGACACGAAGGACAGTAATTCTGCTGAATGGATTTCTTACACTAAGTTTGTCCCCTTTCGTGCCCGAAAAGTGCGTTTGCAACGAAGTGCTCGGCACTGAAGCTCAGAAGGTGGACTGGCTTTTTGATATTAATAACAAAAACCTTGTTGCAGGTTGCTGCCAACGACGCCAAATTGCCACTTTGGGCGTACAGTGTGTGCGCTTGAAGATAGTGAGTTGCTCTGAAACAGCGGAAGCTCCGCAGCTTTCGTGGTTTCGTACATGTCCACTTCGTTTCTTTCGTGTGATCGTTTAAATCCCACTTTACCGGTATTTAAAAGTTCCGGTGAACCCTTTTTGCAGTACCACGAGTACTCGTAGTACCGGTAAATAAAAGTCTCCCGCTCTCTCGATCTCTGCCAATGCAGTACTACAAGACAGTACAAGTAGGTAACAGTTCAGTATTTTATGTAATGCGTACCAGCATTCCTCTTTGACATGAAATATGTAGCAGCGCGCAGGAATTTCACGTGGATAGATATTCGCAGCTATTTCGATTAGTACCATGTTCGCCACAAGTTGTGAGTCTAACTTATGACCTGGCAGCTCCAAAGTTGAAGAGTTGTGAATCCAGCTTGACATGTGAATTCGAATTGCTTACAGCGCTTGCTCGAATCAATTGTTGGGCTCCGTTGAGCCGCACGGCGCCAATCAAATCATGTTTTTATCGGTGCCCAAATGTCGCGCAGAAACGCAAGATTGTTAGTGCGGAGAGCTACCTCAGTAAGTTGCCGAAGTATCCACTCCAAAAATCAAAGAATCGTGCTGCTTACGGTCTCGTGGACACACAGGAGTCCTGTCAGGACGCCCAATAACTGCAATTTTATATTTGATTCCTTGAAAATCGAACAGCTCTCAGTGACAATACATGCGGCTATACTAAAGCGGACCCCTCTGAGGCACCTATAAAAGATTTATCATGTAGGAAATCTGCATATCGATATTCAGTGACGATTTACTGGTGAAGGACCGTAATGTGATCTTTCAAGAATTTGTGCAAATTCGAATTCCAATGTATTCCAGGAGAAGACTGTTTCGTGACTGACAACATATCGTAATAACAGGCATCTCACGGAAAATAGGGACGGGTAGGCACTTATTACATCTTGCTGCAGGCCCCGAGTCCAAGCATTTGAGCATGGAGACATGACGCTTGAAACTTGCCAACTTATATCAGTATTTAAAGGAAGACCTTACTGCAGCAAAACATAAAACGCTTACGAGCACAAACTTAATGAAAATACATCGTTGTTGGAAAAGAGCACCTGCTGTAGTCCCAAGCGAAATTTAGAATCCGATTTAGAACCGGTGCTCGATTTTAGCGCAACTTAGGGCATTTTTGCGCATCAGATTCGGATACTTCGTCAACTTTGTGCTGGAAATTTCAGCTGCCGTGCTTTTGCGCTTCTCTGGGACAAGGTGATCCACCGGCAGGATAGGGAGATTTGATTACGGAGATGCTCTAAAGCTCAGTAAATTGCGATAAAAACAGGTGTGTTAGCCCAACATTGTTGGGCTGGAAAGCCTGGAATAGAACACAAGAGAAGCTTTTCAGTGACAGCTTGTTACGGCCCGAGCCGATATTTGGGGTCGGACGTGCCGCTGTAGAGATTCAAGCGCTCACGAGCTCTCCGCCATTGTACACGTAAATGGTGGAGCGCTGCAACACGAAAAAGCTTGCTGCGTATTGCCAGGTGACTTCATGTAATTGTTGTAGCTTGAAATGCATCACGCTTCCCTCTCATGTTGGTGATAGTACATGTACCAGATCTCAATGGTTTTCCTCACCGAAATTTTAAGCCACGCTTGGCAACATCGAAACTCGATGTAGCATTCGATTCGAATGGCAGTGGTCTGAGACCACTGGTCTCACCTTACGTCAAAGCGCGCCAGCACCAAGGCTGCCGACACACCCGCAATTTCTATGGTTGCAATTCGGACAAGACGAAATGAGCTTTCATCTATGCGTAGAAATACATGTAGCATGAGAAGGAAACGACAGCTACAGTACATGTACTTTTACGTCGAGTCCGCATCGGTCGCATTGGCTGTGTTGCAACTGCAACTGTCACTGGCTCCACCGTGCCACCACTTGGAGTCCAAGTTGGACATCTTCACAGCACAGCACCGTTGATGCCAGTCTTTTTTTGTATGAGGCGTCCGACCGATTGTCGGCCCCATATGGTCCACTCCAACGCGCATGGCCGACTTTAGCTAAGTTGACGATGTATCGGCGCCAATTAACATAGCCAATCAAAACAGCTCTTGTCTCGCCCATCCATTGGCTGTAAAAAAGTCCACCAATCAGTGGTACTCGTGTATAACATAAAATGTACTAAATTTGTGGTCAGATGTATTTCTTGCCCACTCCCACGTTTAGAAAAGCTCATTCCCGCTTTTCCACCGCGAGTCGCAGGAGGTATCTCGCGAGAAAAAAAGAAGAAAACTTCGATATTCGATCCAAGTCACTATGGGCGACAACAAGATGCGTAAACGGCCAGCTTCTTCGGGCCCTGACGCCCGCGCTGGCGTCTCTGCTGCGCCCGTGTTCCTACAGAAGACCTACGACATGATCGAGAGCTCGCCGTCGACCGTCGCGTGCTGGAGCGAGTCCGGCACGTCGTTCATCATTAAGCTTCCGCGCGAGTTTGCCAAGACGATGCTTCCTCGCTACTTCAAGCACAACAACTTTAGTAGTTTTGTGCGCCAGCTCAACTTCTATGGCTTTCGCAAGCACAAGAAGGACGAGATCGTGATCTCCACTGAGGAGGACGAGAGCAAGAGCTGGTGGGAGTTCTATCACGAGAAGTTTCTGCGTGGGCGACAGGAGCTCATGGCGCAGATCCGCCGCAAAACATACTCGGAGCCGGCATCCCCCCGACCACGAGGAGATGGAGACGCTCAAGCAGTCAGTGCAGAGTCTCCAGAGCCAGGTATCTGAGCTCATGAGTCAGCTCTCGGACCTCACCGGTCTTGTGAAGAGCCTGCTGCAAGATAAGCAAGGTCCGATGTCCATGCCGCCCCAGCGCGCTCCGAAGCGAATGAAGATGACCGAGGGTGCGGTCCAAGTACCAAGAATGTCAGTCACTTCTCCTGGTAATGTCATGCCGAACGCCTATGTGCCCCAGCTAGAGCAGATGCCCGTGTCGGCTCCGCAGCCCCGACAGCCTCAACCCAACATGATGCTGGAGTCCGTGTCTAAGATCCAGAACCAACGGACACGGGACATGTCCCTTATGGAGTGGACCGAGTCCTACGGCATGGACTACCTGCTCAACGACTCTGGACGGCCGCTGCCGCTGTTCGCCGAGGAGATGCTCAATTATGATTGAGCGATCCACTCTTCTAGGCCTCGTGGGCCTCTCAACTTTGTAGGAGGAAGGGAGCTCCGAGGCCTAGTCGAAAGAGCCTGGCTAAAGCAAGAGGCGGAGAGGGGCGTTTATATCCTTTATATATATCGCAAGTCGGCGGCCGTTGCCTAAGCAACGAGAAAGGGGTTTCGCTGCAACGGGGACAAGACAAGGCGAGCATTGGCAAACTCGACTCGGCCGAAGGCAGGCAGGACTAGGAGAGTGAATTAGTTAGGTAGTCGTACACGCGGAAACCACGCAATTGCATCCGTGAATTCCTTATCATTACGAGTAAAATAAGTGAGGTTATTGCACGTCGATCTTAGCTCATATACAAGTACTAATAGTACGCCCTGCCGTTGTCAGTGGGCTTCTGAGCAGCGCTTGGTAGCTCCACGAAGTGCGACCGCAGTCGACAGTTGTGAGTCACAGCTTTTGACCATGAATCTTACTTCCTACTGTACGATAGGATTCAGGGCGATCGGCCAAAGGTTAGTCACCAAGTACTCGTAGCGCCACGGGCGACCGGCCAGCGCCACGGGCGACCGGCCATACCACCGAATAATATTCAGTGAATATGACCAATATAACCAGCACCAAGTTGGATAGAGTTCAGTGCCACGGGCGGCCGGCCATAGCAGAATTCCACGAGGGCACGTCGGACGGGTCAGTCGTGCGACCTCTTTTACATGTGATAATGCATCCCATACATGTACGACTCGTGCCTCATGTTGAAGATAGCGGCAGTATTTTCCCTCGAATCACTGACCGCACTTTTGAGCAGCTACGATGTCGATGCACTTCCACCAGAGGCGCTTCTTCGCGTACTTGAGTGGAGCTCCCAACCTACACACACTAAGCTCCGTGTCTTCTCACAGGTGTGTAGCCATATCTTGCCGCTTACTACTGAGTCTTACGCGTAATTGTCTTCTGTCTGGACCTGCACGGGCAGCCACACCCTGGTGACAACGGACCGATGTGTGTCGCTCTTAAGCTACGGAGACTCCGGCTACAGTCTGCATAAGCTCGAAGTGGACGCACTTCGTACCGGTAAGGCGGACGTAGTAGCTGCTGCTGCCATTGAGCGACCAGAGACGTGTCAGTCACGAGTTGCAGTCGCGTATGCAGTCGGAGATGCGCTGTTCCTGCAGGTTTTAGCACATCATCATGGATCTATCGGCAATGGAGACGACGCTGAAGCCTCTGGCTGCGGGACTTTTCAGTTAGAGGCGGCACCTACTTGCATGTTCAGTGCACAGGCTGCAGGGCCGAATGGAGACGTCTTTTATGGCGTCATGGTGTGCTGCACAGACTCCATGTTGGCTTTTGGGTATATTGAGAACGAGAAGGAAGCCTCCACGACCGGCTCCGCTACTGTTTGCACTCGACTGAATAACGACCAGTTTGCTGCTTTCTTTCCTGAACTCTCGACCTTCACGTACACAATCCTGGCTGTGGATATCTACACGTCACCTGGAAAAGATCAAGGCTGGGTCGCGTTCGGTTGTGCTGACGGGTAGTGCCTGCAATCGTTATTCGGTCTCTTCTACGCGTGGTACTCACTGCTATCGTCGTTGTCTGTTAGTCTAGTGCGCGTGTTCCATGGATCGATGCGACGAGGATGTCTTGGGGGCCCATTCCAGACGAAAGATCTCCAGCTGAACGGCCCCGTGACTGGTGTTGCTCTTTTCCCGAAACAGAAAACCGCTCCAAACAACTCGACCTCGACTTGGTGCTGTAACCTGCTGGTGACATGTGCGATCGGCCAGGCGGTTGTCTACGAGGACTTATACAACACTTCCACGGAAGACGAGAATAGCGAGGTGTTGGTGGACTCGGACACGTTCGACTCGATTTTCGCGGGTATCACTGCTGACATCGACCTGGTAAGCGCGCGCAACCGACTCGTCCGCGATTAAAGCTACCGTCTACTAACCTTAGGTGCTTGTGTTAACGAAGGATGGAGAGGTTGAATTGCTTTTAGGAACAGACAGTCAGGTTATGCTGGCATACAAGGATGGCGCAGAGGGTGATAGAGGCCACGAGGATGTTACTGGAGATGCAACGAAGAGCTTCCATGATCTCGACATCGACGCGTCAGCCTCAGCATCACCCACGTCACTTGATAGCTCACATAACATCTGGAACGAGCTGGAGACGATCGAAATTGCGGGTGAAGAGGTTTATCCGTCTGTGGCCGAGCCGTCGCTGCTAGTACGCCGACAGAAATGGCAGCGGTTGTCCCGCAGCCAGTGGGATTTGGAGACTTTTGGTGCCATCTACAGTCTTTTATGGCGAGACATCAACCACGACGGCGTACCCGAGCTGCTCATCGCCAGCTCCACTGGCATTTACGTGTACGAAGCCGACCCGGCTTTCGTGATCAACAAGGTTGAGCATGTCTTAGCAGCATTGCACACGTCTTCAACAACGACGAAGTGATTTGTTCACTGCGTTGCGTCCATCATTGGCACTTCTGATTCGCCCAAAACATTCAATTACTGCGTTTAATTAGTCAAAAACACAGACCCATATTTCGCCGTATTCTGTTTGATGGTATAGTTTCATCTGTCATGCGCTTGTCACTTCGAGATTGGCAGAGGAGGCCATGCTCCCGCTCCGCGCTGTAGTTGGGCGACGCTCGCCCGCTCGCCACGTGCGGCTTTTATCCGTCGCAGGGACACCAGGCCGACCCGAAGGTGTTTCGGCAGCTGCAAGTGTAAGCTCTTCCTCTGAGTCCAAGCCGGGACTCTTTCAGTTGCCAGATCTGCATGCCCCATCCGACTTCCCAAGACTCACGCGCGACGTCAAGCTGCAGTGTTATCAGCTGCGACAGGAGGTACCGTAGCACTACTACAAATTTAAGGTGTCTCGTAGTATATTAACGTGCTACTATTGAAGTTGGCAGCGTCGTCTCCAGGACTGGCGACGCTGCGCACTCTGGACGACATCTCCAATGCCATTTGTTCGGTTATTGACGCCGCGGAGCTCTGTCGCAACGTTCATCCCAACGAGTAGGAGACGGAGTAGTACTGCGCATTATTGAAGAGAGTGCTAATGCTTTATGACGCTGTCAGGAACTTCCGGCGAGCGGCGAGCGAGTGCTTCACGGAGCTGTCAGACTTTATCCAGAACTTGAATGCAGACGTGGAGCTATACCGGGCACTTAAGACGGTGGCCGAGGACAAAATTGGGGTGAAGAACTTTACGCCGGAGCAGAGACGGATGGGAATTCTGCTCCGAAACGAGTTCGAGCGCGATGGCATTCACTTGTCACGATCTGACCGACAGAGGGTTATTGCACTGCAGAACGATATCACACAGCTTAGTATGCAGTTCCAGTCAACAATGTACAGTGCCAGAGAGTACGTGGAAGTCCCAGCGAAGCTCATTCGCGGCATGCCACACAGCATCACGTCTGTATGTGAGCGCAAGTGGATGAGTCGGGACACGTTGCGGGTCCCGACAGATATGCACGTCATGAACACGATCCTGAAGTGGGTCGGTGATCCTGAAGTCCGACGGAAGATGTACATGGCCGCCAACTCGTGTGCAAAAGACAACTTGCCGACTCTAGACAAGCTACGGGCGAAGCGGCATGAACTGGCTCAGCTTTTGGGATTCCCTACGTACGCTCACCTTGCAACAAGGTAAGACAGCGACAATATGAGCTCATCGGTGTCCCAATTAACCTCATACAACCTGTGACTTTACGACTCTACAGTGACCGCATGATCGGATCCCCGGAGGCCGTGGAAAGCTTCATTGAGGACATTGCCAAGCAGCTCATGTCGAAGGTTCGTCACGTCACACTACAGACCAACTTACAGTTGAGTCCCTACAGTGCACCTAACGTTGTTTCTACCTTGCCAGGCTACACTGGAGCAGAGACTTTTGTTGGAAGTGAAGCGGAAGCATGAAGGCCGATCTGTCGATCACGTGTACATGTGGGATCTACCTTACTACATGGGCATGCTGAAGGCCCAGAAACATCGCATCGATTCGCGCGTGATCTCTGCGTATTTCCCGCTTGAGAACTGTGTGAAAGGACTACATTTGCTGTGCTCCGCTCTGTTTGGCCTGGAGCTGAAGCAGATTCCCATGCTCAACGCCAGTGAGCGCTGGCACGAAGACGTCGTGAAGCTTGCTCTCACCCGCAATGACGAAACACTGGGCTACATTTACTTCGATCTCTATCCGCGACCCAACAAGTACAACCACGCAGCTCACTTCACTATCCGCTGTGGCAAACGTCTGAGTGAGACGACGTACCAGAAACCAATGGTGGCTCTCGTCTGCAACTTTAACAAGCCTGCACCGGACAGTCCTTCGTTGCTGTCACACGCTGAAGTGGAGACGCTTTTCCACGAATTCGGCCACGCGATGCATTCGCTGCTGTCTCGCACAGAGTTTCAGCATCTCTCGGGTACTCGAGCGACTCTGGACTTCGTAGAGACCCCGTCACACTTGTTCGAGTACTTTGCGTGGGATTATCGCGTGGTCAGTGAGTTCGCCCACCACTACCGAACAGGAGCACCGCTGCCTGCTGCCATGATGCAAGGTCTACGAGCCTCCAAGACGATGTTCGCTGCGATGGATACACAAACGCAGTGTCTGTACTCCATGCTGGACCTCCAGCTATTCGGAGAGCAGCCATTGCCATGCAGCCCTCCGACGACCACACAGATGCTGCATGAACTGCAGAACTCGAGTACTTTGGTGCCTCACGTGGATGGAACGTACTGGCATACACGCTTCGGACATCTCATCGGCTACGGTGCTGGCTATTACAGTTATCTGTATGCTCGTGTGTTCGCTGCCGATATCTGGCATACCAACTTTAAGGGTTCTCCAGGTCCGTTGAACCGCGAGGCAGGCGAGAAATTGTACCAGAAGCTGATGATTCACGGCGGAGCTAAAGACCCGAACGGTCTCCTGGTCGATATGCTGGGTCGTGAGCCTTCTCCTGTGAATTATCTACACGAATTGGGCGTGTAAACTGTCAGATAATGAGAATTGACAACCGGATTAGCATGAATAGATTGCAATTGCTCGTGCGTTATAGCTGTGCTCATATAATAGCTGGTGCGACGTGAAGCTCTCGAACAAAAGTGGGTACACATCGCATGAGGGGGGGGGGGTAGGCAAGAAGCACAGGGATATAAATTGGCTGCCTCGCTCTCTCTCGGGGCAGCAGGTTGTCCGTCTTGTCTCCTCTTGTTTCTATTGCACGACACAGCAGGCTGCGCATGGAGCGCCATCTTTGCCCACGTCGTCCGGATTCGCGGTCGTTACATGCTGCTTGCTGGCCATTTCCACGTGCATGGAGCTGGTGGTGGGGGACGATCCTGCATCTAACTTGTCGGCGGGTACGGCCGCGATGTTGCCGACTTTCTGCTTGGTTACGTCTGGAGACTTCTGCGTCACGAGACCGCCAGCCTGACGCCATAGCAAGGCGTCCACCCAGAACGCAGCCTCGTCATGGGATCGCGCCTTGATAGTGTAGATGCGCTCATTTAGCTCGATCGTGAAGAGCCCAGGGCCATCTGTTTCAACCAGATAAAAGCAGCGAAACCTGTCAGCCGATTGAAGTTTCAACTCGCTTAAGATCGAGCAAGGATCTCACCGACGTGGTCTTCTGGGAGTAGCGTAATAGCGCCCACCTGTGGCAGATTCAGCGCCGCAAGCAGCTTCTGCCCTTGTTTCTGCATTAAAACAGGAGGCGTTAAAGAGGTTAAAACCGCATTGAAGAAAAATAAAACCACGTTTCGCACCTTGTAGTAGGTGAGGAAGCATCCGTTCGTCTCGAACCACCGTTTCTGCCACTTGCCCTCACGCGTCTTCTTAAACAAATAACCTAAAAGAATGATAAAAGCACCGTTTAGTCACCTTTTCTTTTATATACAGGGGGCGGTGCATGCACACACCGCGGATTTCTTCGGTGCGGAAATTGGCCGTGCCCGAGCTGCTGAGTTTACTGGACGGCGACGATGCCATGAGCTTGGTGTCCATGCGGTCGGCCATCGCGTACGCTTCAGGTTCTTCTTGTGCGGTCGCGATTGGTATATTGAGACTGGGACGGTGGCAGAAAGCAACTTTAGGTGTGACGATCGTCCACCTAACCGCCTATTCACCCCAATTTTGTCTGAAACTAGGAGGGATGGCATCGTTGAAGATAGTCCAGGACAGTCCCCAGCTCTCAAAAATAGCACCCGTATCAGAGCTTGACTAAGTGTTTGTAAGCAAGATGGGTACATACCAGCCGGATTTTCTGATTTACACGGTAGAATCAGACACAAACATGCTTCATGTAAATCACACCATTTCGGTGATCGCGATTTGCCATTCTCTGAAATTTATTTCAGACATTTGCGCACGTAATATTTCGTGACCAGAAATGGTTTACGCAAAATTTTATGCAAATGCCGGGGTGCTTCAATTTCCAAAACCAAATAGTCTGGGTGTTGAAAATAACCATAAATTCATGAGAGTAAGAGCTCTACCGGGAGGTGAGTGCACTAATGGACGTGGACATTTCTACCTGTGGAACGGCGTTACCACAACCATACTATAACAACTTTAACGAATAAAAGCAACCATAGCGTACGGTAATTTATTGTAGTCGCCAAATATTTGCGCAGCTCATCGACCGATTCTCTAATAGTAGAGATGAGTCTGACACACCAGATTCGTGTATTCCACACACATATTTTGCTCAAAACCACATCTGACACTTAGGATTTTCACAGCTCAGATGGACGAGAAAACATTGGCGCTCGAGTTGGTCCGCGCTAGACTCGACGAGCTCGCGGATATGAAGCAAAAGCTGAAGACACTGAGCAGAAAACTGGGAGAGCCGCTGAAGGTCCAACTGGAGCTCCACACTTTGATAGAAGACAGCGAGGAACGCAGCTACGCGTTAGCAGCAGCTTTGAACTACAAAGACGAAACTGTCCAAGAAGGTGTTTTCTCTTTCGGGACTCTGTTGGAGATGGTGGTCAGGAAATTGTAAGGTTAAGAGGAGCGTTTGAAAGGCGCTCGTATTCTTTTATTCAACAATGCAGAGCCTTGACCTATTTGCGTTCCTCTTCCAGCTTTTTATGGATCTCTCTAGTTGTTTCAGCATCGGCTTTAGACATAATTCCCTTATCGGAATGCATCATAATGACCCAAAGCATTCGCAAACGCATTATCTCGACATCATTCTTCGAAACGTTGTAGATCTGCCGCTGTATGTTTCTAGTAAGATAGCTGTGAGCTTGAGCCACCACCAAAACGCCACAGCTAGATCCGTCTGGCAGCTTAGGAGCTTTTATCCACTCGATTGGATTAATTTTAAGAGGGACATTATCCGCTGTAGCGCCATGCCATCGCTCAAGAAAGCCACGAATACCTTATATTTCAGCAATATTCTTCTCATCTTTTGCGACACCTTCCCAAACGACCTCCAAGTCATCATGGTATTCCTCATCAATAAAAGTCTCGTACATGTAAACTTGCACGCGCAAATTTTTTTTCGGTGTCTTCACATAGCTCAGATGAATAATAATGATGCTCCAGTGGCTCGCTTTCATGTTCACAGGGTTGATGATGTTATCGTGACAGCGTGCTCTTTCAGGTAGTGCTCTTTACACAACCCACAATTTTTTAAAACTTAATAAATGTTTTAAATGAAATGATAGACCAAAGTCGTACCCGTGCGTACCGCAGAGTGCGCATCCCAGCAATCAGATAAAACTCCCTTGTCTTCTTCGTCAGGAAGATAGTCGCCATCACTGGTATCATCCTTCTCGATACCGAGTGAAACCAGCATGTAATTCAGGTCGACCTTTTGATCCCGCCTGTAACGGGGTACGTAGCCCTAAGTGTACCCTGGTTACATAAGGTGTGACACGTCACACTTCAGAAGTATGACACGTCATACTTCGGTATATTTGGTACAAAGTACCAAGGTCGTCCAAAGCCAACCATTGGTTGATGACATTGCATTTCTATAGGTGACTTATAGTTTGTATTAAACCCAAGCTTTATCTACCTATAAATATACTCAGTTTACATTCTACCTTAATTAGGTCATTTCGCTCTCTTTTGAATAAAGAGAGGACCTGTGAACTGCCGTTCACTGAGAGTTTGTATACTCTCGGAAGCTAACTTCCTCAAGCGCAAGGTGCTGTGTGACCCCGTCACACCGCCGCCGCCGCCCTTAAATGCATACATATAAATGTAAGATATTTCTACAAGTGCTCCTGCCTACGGCAGCTTTCCCCACCATGCGCAGCCGGCGTCTCCATTTGAAACGTGTATCGTCTTCTCTGGCCTCTTGTCCTCTTCCCACCCTTCTTCGTATCTCGGCTGACGCGTCGTTCGGTCAGTGACATCGATTGTGCTCCCGCTTTATCGTAAACGAGCGGCTCTGGCTACTCTTACTTAACTGAGCAAACACGTACTTAAGTGAAACAAGTTTTAAATACGCATCTAAGAGAAAAACTGAAAATTAGAGCAAAATTTTACGCGTGAAATTTGTGAATTCTGTTAACGCAACCATAAAGGTCTAAAGCAACCATAAATGACCCATATTATGGTTGTCGTAACCACTCCGCTACCTGTGCTTGGTTTATAAACAAAGCCGCGACAAGGCGCGGAGCCAGCTCTGAATTTGTCAGCAAAAACGAAGAAAACACATCGCACTTTTATTTATTACAGTACAATAATGCCCACGCCCGTATTTTTAGCGCAATAATGTACTTTACAATACATTACATACTGTAATATAGTGCTGAAACTAGTAGGCCGTGTTAAACCGTTTTAGATTTTGGCTAATACAGTTCTGCAAATGTGATAAAAAATCATTTGAAGAACGGTATTAGCCAAAATCTAGCAATCGACGACTTTTCCGTTTTTTACGGCTACTGCAGTTTCCATGCAGTAGTCTTGTCCAAACCCAGATGCACTAACCGACGCCGATAAACGTTATTCGGCGCACTAGATGAAAAGTGAGCGCCCTGAACGCTACATTGACTCGAAAACGCACCTTAGCAGAAAAGGTGCGTTATTTATGTTCTTACAATGTTTGAAAAATCAAAGCTCTCTTCGTCGATCGTCCAACCATGTGGGTGGATGTGTCAGTGGTCCTGTGGTATACCTGCTGTATATCATTCGAAAGCTTGCGCGAGGGTGGAATTTTAATCTTATCGACGCAAAGCGTGCAACGATTTTTTCAGCTGCAAAAGCAGCGCTCAATAGTCTCCCATTCGACCGCAGGAAAACTTGTTTGCTGTACATAGGGATGTTGGTGGTGCCTCCAAAAGTCTTCGAGCGCTGGTTGCCAGCTGGCAGAGTGCGTACTACCCGGAGGAACGGCCTTCCGTTGATCACAGCAGAGGGTAATATAACGTGAGGGTTTGTAGCTATCGGGTAGTACTGAACACATCCTAGTATTTCTGAATATTAATACTGATATCTAGATATTTGGAAAAGTCGTGATTATGGCGAGTAGGAGTAGATATACTGGACTTATTCCTCGCATATCACTTATTATTATACCGGCCAAACGGGATCGGTCACCTCCAAATTTGACGGCCGGCAAAACAATCTCATGTCTCCCCTACTTAACCAAGCACAGCGTAGCACGTATCACTCGCTGGTGCGTATCCAGACGTGTCGATCGGTTATGTTTTCATTGAGATCCGTTTAATATTCATCTTGCTACGCATGTACTCACCGCCGCTAAAAATACCAAATTGTCCGACTTCACCGCACTCTAAGGACAGAGCAAGCTCAAGGAGCCCTTCCCAAGGGGCATACGCTACACTATCTTATTAAGCCGTCGACAGCCTACGCGCACAGCACCATCTCGTTCGTGCTGGCTCACTGGGACAAGCACCATGATCCGCTTTTCACGAGCATCTTTGGCGCTCGGGGTCACCGTCGCCGGTCTGCGGCCAAATGTTTCGGGTCCGAAATCAGGTAAGTAATTTCAGACCGTAATTTAAACCAACAGCCGACTACTGCTGCGCACATCATTAACGAAATACTAAATGAGGCAGGTTTCTCAGTTTCTCTGTGGACCATGCGACGTGTAGTTACGCGCTTGGGCTATGCTTATGTCACGGGGCAAATTCGTGACATTGCAGCCGACGCAGCGAGTACCGTCAAGTGCTGCATGTAGTATTTGTTTAAGAAGGTTCCTAATCGCGATCACCACCGCAGCCCTCCTCGGCCCGAAATGTTTCTAGACTAGAGTTACGTGGAAAAAAAACCACGTAGCCTCTCGGTCGTGGCTACGCTGAGATTGGCAAAGAACATCGTTTTTGCATTGTGGGTGCTGGTGAGTTGCACCGCAAAAACGGATTCTTGCACGAGGCGTGGGTGGGAGATTCTTTGAAGTATTGGCAGTCCGATTTGGCTGCATCCGAGAATGCGAACTATCACGGTAGCTTTGACAGCACCACGTTCGAGAACTGGCTCACAAAACTGTGCTGCACGCTGCAGCTTGACTATGGTGGGTAAACATCATCATGGATGAAGCCAGCTATCACCGATGTATCGTCAATCCCGCACCAAAAACGAATGGAAGAAGGCCAAAATTCACCACTGGCTGGTAGACAATGGGATCTCCTGGGGATCCAGCACCAGAAATTCGACGTTGTTGCCGCCGCCAAGCCGATGACACACTTCGTGGCAAGCTTGATTGCTTGTGAATACGGGCATCTACTGCATTACACACCCATATCTTCAACCAATTGAGGTGATATAGGGTGTTGTGAAAAACTGCTTCGCGGTGGCGCCGGCAAAGTCCATGTCTGAGCTGAAGAAGAAACTCGAAGCTTTGCTACGCAAAGTTTGAAGCCGCACGTGGAAAGAAGCTTACCGCAAGATATAAAAGAAGAAGGGTGAGTATATGGAGAGCGTACATGAGGGGCAAGCTCGTAGCTCTATCTCAGAGTCCGAAACCCAAGCTGCACATGATGCTGAAGATCAGCAGGACACACCAGACTACATCTTCCGGTGCTAGAGCTACATTTTGACAGGTATTAGTCTTACAGAGCTAGAGGTCATT